GAGACGGAGGGGGCATGCATTATTCTAGTGGCAGTGAAGACGGAGTGATGCGGAAGGATTTGAAATGGACTTGGTGTTGGATTGGATGGGGTGGGGAAGGAGAAGGAGGTGTAAAGAATGACTCCCAGGTTTTGGGCTTCAGCAGTTGTTTGGGAGAGAGCATCTTTGCTAAGGTCAGGAGGCCCAGGAGAGGAGCTGGTTTGGGGAAGAAAGGCAGGAGTTGAGTTTGGGATAAGTGAACTTATCTGGCGCCGGTGAAACACCGTGTGAAAACGATAGGGAGGAATGGCCACGGGACTCTGAGGAGAGGCCTGGGCTGCAGGCATATGGTTGACAATTTTGTTTTTTTGTTTTTGTTTTTGAGACAGAGTCTTGCTCTGTCAACAAGGCTGGAGTGCAATGGTGCCATCTCAGCTCACTGTAGCCTCCGCCTCCTGGGTTCAAGTGATTCTCCTGCCTCAGCCTCCCAAGTAGCTGGGATTACAGGTGCACAACACCACGTCCAGCTAATTTTTGTATGTTTAGTGGAGATGGGGTTTCACCATGTTGGCCAGGCTGGTCTCAAACTCCCGACCTCAGGTGATCCACCCGCCTTGGCCTCCCAAGGTGCTGGGATTAAAGGTGTGAGCCACTACGCCCAGCCTCAGTTGACAGTTATTAATGTATACGCAGATGACAGCTATAGCCATGGTAGATGAGGCCACCAGGGGAGAGCATGTGGTTTAGTCCTCTTATCTTTTTTGGGGGACCCAGACACCTCTGGGAAGCTGCTAAAAGCTCCACTTCTTCCTTTAAAAGTATTTGCATCCAAGTTTAAGGAGCTTATAGATCCTTCTGAAGCCTGTCCACAACTCTTGTATGGTCAAGAGATGTCAAATTAAAAGCAAACAAACAAAAAAACAACAAACTTTGTGTAGACACAGGAATGGGTCCTAGGTTAAGCCCTGGGGAACAGCAACATTTAGAAGCAGGACACAGGAAGCACCTGGGGAGGTTGAGACAGAGTGGACAGAGAGAAACAGGGAGGAGGAATTCCAAAACAGGTATGTTATCAAAACTAACAGCAGAGTGTCTCAAGAGTAGGAGACGCATGCTGCTGAGAGAACTAGAAAGACAAGGCCTGCAAAGTGTCCTCCGGAGTTGGCAACAGTAATATTCTGGGGAGGCCTAGCCCCGGGAGTTGGCCTAACAGTGGTCATTTCTGTGGAGAGCCAGCTCTGTTAGGAGGAGGCTTTGCCCCTCTGGAGTGGGAAAAGAGACCCTGGGGCCGATGTAGGATGATGGGCAGATTTACGGGCATGAAGATGAGGATGTTGCCTCTTGATGGTGTAGGTTTTCTTAGTGAAATAGGAGGTAAGGGGATAGTGAGAGGGAAGGGCACGCAAAGATGGGGGTTTTGAGGATGGAGGAGATGTGACATAGCCTTTGTGAGAAGTGAAGTCAGACCTTACTAGCATGACTGGTATCTCCATGCAGCTGCAATCAGGGTTGGCCCTTACAGTGAGTAGGATCAGAGGAAGGAAGCAGTGGGCTTAGACCCAGAATCATCATGACTTGAGAACCAGCAAGCCTTCCAGAACTTCCCTAGACTGTTCCACGCCTTTCTCTCCCCTGTCTTGAGTTTCTCCTTTTTTTTTTTTGCACCTTCATTTCCTTCAACCTGTAAACATGCTCAAGCCTTTCCTGGTGACTCAGCACTTCCTCTAAAGCCAGTGTCCAAATTCTTTTTTCACCATTCTCAGAACATCTGTAACAGAAAAGGTTTTGGAATATCCAACTGCTCTTCTCTTTTTCCTAGAGCTTTCCCTTGCCTGGCTGCACGTTGTCTCACTTTGGCTGCACCTCGAATTCTGGGGCTCTCTGTGATTTTTTAAAAGCCCGAATGAGTTGACAGGTTCATGCTGGGTAGCTAGGAGATATACACTGCAGCCAGAAGCCTCGGGGGAACTCTGAGGATTTTAAATGGAGTGCACTGTAGTTCATTCTGAAGGCTGAATTCGTCTAACAGTTCAGGCTGGAAAGGGTGGATGCCAGTGGGAACCACCGTAGGAATGTTTTTTTTTTTTTTTTTTAGATGCAGTTTTGCTGGTTGCCAGGCTGGAGTGCAATGGCACGATCTCAGCCCTCTGCAACCTCCATCTCCCAGGTTCAAGCGATTCTCCTGCCTCAGCCTCCCAAGTAGCTGGGATTACAGGCATGTGCCACCATGCCCAGCTAATTTTGTACTGTTAGTAGAAATGAGGTTTCACCATGTTGGTCGGGCTGGTCTTGAACTCCTAACCTTGTGATCCACCAGCCTTGGCCTCCCAAAGTGCTGGGATTACAGGCATGAGCCACTGCCCCCGGCCCACCATAGGAATTTGAGGCTTATTAAGGAGGTGAAATAGATAGGACTTGGTGATTGGGTAAGGCAGAAGGCTGAATTAAGAATGACTCACTCATTCCCAACTTTCTAATTCTGATGACTATGGAGATGGTGGTGCCAACAACTGAGGGAGGGGCAGCTATGAAAGCAGAGAATGAGTTCAGTTTTGGAAATGTCCAGTTTGGGGTGTCTCTGTGGTATCTAGCTAGAGCTGCCTGGTAGGCAGTTGGATATTTGGTTCTAAATTTTGTGGAAGGAGTCTGGGTTGGAAATTGCTAATTTGGGAGCTGCATCCATGAGGATGCAGGCTATCCCAGAAGAATGAGTGAAGTGAGAAAAGCTGTCGGCAGAGTGGAATCCTGAATTTAAGGTGCAGATTCACAAGTGAATGCTACCAAGGGAGGCAGAGGCTTTACTTACCTTCATGTGATAATTGAGAGGGTTCAGTCTCCTGAAACCAAGGTAGTAGAGAGATTCCAGAAGGTGGGAGCCATCGCAAGGTGTCATATGTAGCAGAAAGAACCAGAGAGATAAGGCCTGAGGAATGCCTGCAAGGTTTGGCAAAATGAAAGTCATGAGTTACTCTTGCCTGAGCAGGGTGAAGAAGGGTCAGAGTCGGGGAGGAGAAGCCAGAATGCCAAGCGTTGAGAAATGAGGAAGCAGAGGCAGCCAGGGAAGACCACTGTTTGAGGTCCGCATGCGACACTTGGAAGCTAGTTCGAGGGGACACTACAGGAGGAGGTTGGCTTGATAATTTTGTTTTTAGGACTTGGAGAGGCCAGCCTGTTTAAAGGCTGAGAGGGAACAGCCAGGCAAGGAAGCTGGGGAGGTGGGGGAGGAGGATTTTAGGGCCTGACCCCACCCAGACCGCTTTCTTGCGGTTTGCCCAACACTACCACACCCCTTATCTCATTTAATCATTTCAACACCACAAGGTTTGAAACAAACGGTGAGTTATGAAACAAAACGGTGAGGCCAGGGATTGGGAAGAGAAAGCTGTGGCTCCATCTCGGTCCAGCGTGCTGTCCACGCCAAGAGGCGTGCAGAAATGCCAGCCTCACACAATCTAGGGGACCAGGGGTGGCTGTGGCGCTTTCCTGCCCCCGGGAGGTGTTATCAGTGTCGCAGACTCGGGGCGGTGTGCTGCCCCAGGTGAGATGTCATCACGTGCGTGGACCAGGGGTGGCGGCCCCGGTAAGTGTCCAGGGGTAAGTGCTCCCTGCTCTGCAGGTGTGGTGGGCAGGGTCCGCGTGCATGCCGTCCCCTGCTCTAAGACGCTGAGGCGGCTGAGTTCTGTAAGTAGCGGCAAGAAGAACAGTCACGGAGCGGGCCGGGCACCAAGGGCTCAGGCCAGGTGGCCCCAGGCTGAAAGATGGCCGCAGCCCGAGGCTGCAGGT